GGGTCTGAGCAATGGGCGCCGTTGAGTCTTCCAGGTTCTTTTCCAATTCTCTTCTCTCCTGGTCCTCTAGTACTTTATTTTCAAAGAATGTCCTAAGGGCAAGAAAACATGACTTCACAACGGGTTATCTGTGAATATCACTTGTAATTTTGGTTATGTTTTAGTACTGACTCTAGTATTTAAGACCTACTAATTAAGGCTGCTTTTTACTACTTCAGGACAAGCTAACTACAATTTCCAAGGTCAACAAATGATGGTGCTGTTATAAGCATCATGATTAAGTGCTGAAATAAAGCTTGGCTTAAAAGTAAATGTTTCAAGATGCCAGGTGCTCGTGTTCGAAATTATTTGAGCCTAATTTGCATTTTTTAAGTAAAAATTGAAAATGTTATTGGAGCAAGGGCTCATGGATTTTCATTCAGAATAAATGACCATCAGAAACAAAATGAATTAAGAACAGGGCCCTCCCTGGTGGTGCAACCGGTTAAAGTGCAGGACTGCGAAACTAACAAGTATGATCCCTGCCCTGGAGGTGACCACATGGCACAGGAGACCCCTCCTGTCTCCCTGCTGCCCCTCTCAGCAGTGTACTTCATGGATCTGCCTGTTCTGCTCCCCGCTCTGGCTCTGGCTCATGTTCTCAGCACCCCTGCACCTGTACCCCAGCTCTGCATGCATAAATAGTAAAGTTATGTGCAGAACTTTTTGAGTGGGAGGGGGAGTCTTAAAATGAAGTTAAGAAATTCTTTGGGAAAGCCCACTTAGCTATATCTAGATAGGTTTTCAGTCTCTCTGAACTAGAAGGGACCAAAAGTTTCCACTGGGGAGCGGGGAAAGGCAGAGAAAAGAAAAGACAAAGAAGAAAACAAACAAACAAAAGGAGTCATGGGAATTGGATTTGCCTTAGCATTATTAATAATCCAGATGCTCGAGGAGCAGTACCTTTAAAGTACTGAGAGAACAATTGAGATGGAAAAAAAATGTACAAAATGATGTAAAAATAAACTTTTGTAAAATAAAAAAAAAAGGACTGAGAGAATCAGATTTCAAATGAGATTTCTATACTCAGCTAAACTATCAGCCTTCAGCATGATGTGCTGCCATACCGAAACATATAAGAACTCCAAACCTTATACCTTTTCTCATCATTACCTTTTTCTTTTTTTCTTTTAGTACACTGCTGAGGGGAGCAGTGGGCGGGTCAGGAGAGGTCTGCCACGCCACGTGAGTCACCTCTCTGGCAGGGATCGAGCTCATGCTGTAGTGGCTGACAGCTTCATAGTGCTGTGCTTTAACTCACTGCACCACCCAGGAGAGGCCCTCATCCTTACTTTCAGAGGATGTCACCCAACAAGTCAAGAAGAGGAAGAGATGGAATCCAGGAAACAGGAGAACAGTGAAGAATACCTATGGCTTCTCTGTGTTAAGTCTAGAGAAGAACCAGTCCAGATGGGAGTCTTGGGGAAGGAAAAGATGAGGAAAAAAAGGAATGTAATAGAATAGAATGCATGACAGGACATTTGGAAGAAAAACTAAGGAAACGATCATAGGCAAAACAAACAAACAAAAACACTCACAAAGAGGAGGGAGTGTAATATAACTCAGTAACTTCAGGAAAGCCAAAAAACAGTCCCAAAAGTTTTCTTTTACAAAGGTCATGATAGAACTGATGCAGACTAAAATGTGCTGCTGTGCGCAATGAAGCATGTGATGAAGCTTAGGGGGTGAGAACTCAGTTGTCCTTTGTTTCACCAACAGGGTGTGGTATTGCACTTGCTCTAAAAGAAAAGCAGTTCCAGCAGACCAGACTTGACTGGGAGAGTCTTACACCGTCCAGTAAACCCTTCCTGAGCCAGCCCGTGGACAGCCCTGGAGACTTGTTGCACCTGCAGGACAGAAGCTAAGCCCCATCCACTGTGACTAACAGGTTGCAAGGAGCTCAAAGGTGGCTCATGAGGAAGTGGGAAGAGGGAAGAAACATCATCTTGATTGTGAACTTCATCATTTTCTTGAGAAATCTGACTGAATCCTAGGTACAAATGGAGGCCAAAGGTTTCAGATAGCCTTACGCAGTAAAAAATCAACCTCTTATGCTCAATGGTGCTGCTTTACCATTTGCTTCTTAACTGCCTTCTCAAACTGTACCCCTAGAGATAGCACACCTGCATATTGGCAGGTGAGGTGCAAGGAAATGCCTATTTACACTGACAGCTATTTCCAAGTGGAGGGTTTACCTGAGCAGCTGGTCCACCTCAGCCTGGTTGGAGGGGGCTGTTCCCTGCAGCTGCTCAGTGAGGGCTCCATTCACCCACTGCACAGCTGTACTCACGGCTTGGGACCTCTCTGCTTCCTCCACCTCGGCTGCCTCTGCTGACGCACTCTCGTGGACTTCGAAATGAGTTGCGATCACCACAGAACATATGTTCTGAAAACAGTACAAGCAATGATACAAATGTTTTACATTTCCCCAACTTCTTGCAAAAAATAGAAACTGAATTAGTTCAGCTTTTAACGTGCATGATATTTTATCACCGATTTCAAAGGGAAAACGAGAATATATAATTTTCTTTGAGATATTTTTATCTGTTGAAAACACTGTGGAATCCAACGTCACGGAACATTTAAAATTATTACCTTGTGAAAATACCCTTATAAAAACCTTACATTGAACTTCATTTTTATCATTCCTTCTCAAAGGCTCTGAACAGATTTAATCCTGCTTATTCTACTCCCAGCTATTGTAGCAAAATTATTTCTAACAAAACATAGCCATTTAAATAATTTAAATTAATAAAATGAATTTTTTCTTTTTGTAGAGCCGTCAACAAACCTACAATTCTATATAAATCTTTACATACGTACAGGAGTCTACAAACCTATCTACAGATGTGTAGGATTCATCCTATTTATAATGTCAGCACTTTAAATCTATGCTTGCCCCCACTTCCTTTCTCTGCTTTAGGTCATCTCAGCTTAGCATGTCACGTCTATACCAAAGTCATAATAATGCCATCACGCTGAGTGTTTGATTCATGCTTTCATGGGCACATGTACCTCCAACTTGTATGTGATTCCCTGTGTATTTTATAAACAGTACCTTTCCACAGTTTAGATAATTAATGCTAATCAATGTGGCCAGCCCAGAGAGAACACACATTTACTGCCTCATACCTTGGAGAAATTCTGAATAGTGCAGAACAGCTCCACTTGCAAGGTTGGAAGCGCCAGTCCATCCAGGACACTCTTCCCCACGACTCTGCATATGGTGGGGGGCTTTGCCAATTTAGAAAAGCAGTTTGCCTTTAACACACACACACAAACACAGAAGTCATATAATGATATCTCAGCTATCTTCACAAGTCATTCATTTACTTTTTTTTTTCTCAGATTTATTTATTTATACTTACAGAACTGGGACACAGGCCAGAGGTGTGGTGGGTGAGGGGATTCACTAGAGACAAAGTGGGGAGAGCAGACAGAACTACTGAAGTACACTGCTGAGGGGAGCAGCAGGCGGGTCAGGAGAGGTCTGCTGCGCCATGTGGGTCACCTCCGGGGTGGGGGTCACCTTCATGCTGAAGTGGCTTTAGCTTCTTAGTGCTGTGTTTTAACCCGCTGCACCACCAGGGAGGGCCCCCCTCATTTACTTTTAAAAGATCAAACGCTTACTCAGGTTTCTACTAAACCTCTATAAGTATCCTCCACGTGCCAGGATTAGCCTCAATCTTTCAGACCTACCTTGCCCTCATGTACCAAGATTTGGATTTATCCAACTGCTGGGTCTCTAGTAGAATGTGTTGTCATTAAAACTGTGGGTAGAAAGTCCCATCCATTTCTTCACTTAAAGGCCCCGTGTCACTTTTCAGTGGCCCGCTTTAGAAAGCTCAATGCCCTAGTCTGTCCTTCTGTCCAAGGTGCTGAATTCAATGGTTTGCTACAACACCATCATGTATTCCAACTGAAGAGATCTTAAGTGGGCAGATTTTATTCCTCCAATAAGGCATCAAGAATTTTAATCATGAAAACTTATGCAGAGGGCAAATTTCACTTATCATCAGTTCATGAATGTAACTATGTGTTCAAAGAGGATTGTTGGAGACTTGGTCATAGCAGTTGCCTTGATATTTTAAAGCAGGAACCTTTCGAAAGAAATGGAAGAAAAAGAATGAGGCTCAGATGGAAACCCATTCAAGAAGTCTGAATAAGAATATTCAAGATGGTGTTTCTATGTAGAGGATAAAAGGAAGTGGGGAAATCTTCAGTTTGACCTTTCAGTTCAAAACCTAAAGAACTTGACCTACATAAGGACCATCTAACCCCATCACATGCCAGCAAAGAGTGGTGCCCCAGCTGGACAAAAGCAAAAGCCAGTTCATGAGCACCCATGTTTTTATGTTTGCATGTTACAAAGTAAATGTCTAAGAGAATTTATCTAGAATTAAGAAGAAATATATTATTATATATTAATAACTGTATTATCAGTTAAATTCAATAAAGCCCTATAATGTGCTATGTCTTGCACTCCTAACATGATAAAGGAGGGGAAAGTTGTTTTTCCAAGTGTTTAATGTGAACCTCAAAGGTGTTACTATGTCTTGTTTCTCACAATTGCTCAGTATCACAGGGCCTGGTATAATTAGGATTCTATAAATTTAATCTATGTAATAGTAATTGTCAAGCATGTTATGTCATTAAATTCTCAAAATGTGGTAGTTGCCAAAAGTAGGGGGGGAGTGAGGCAAAACAGTTGAAAGGACTCAAAAGTTTAAATTTTTGTTATAAGTCACGAGGATGTAATATACAGCCTGGTGACTATAATAAAAATGTCTTTGAAAGTTGCTGAGCAGATCTTACAAGTTCTCATCATAAATGATCACAAATCATCTATCTAACAGATGCGAACTAGATTTCTTGTGGTGATCATTTCACTATATATAAATAATGAGGTACTACGTTGTATACTGAAATGTGTATAACTTCATGTCAATTTGCCCCACCAGCAATAAACAATTTTCACAACAACTCCATAAGGTGAATATGAGTGGTATCATCTCCATCCATAGAAGAGCAAATGAATAGCCCAAGATAATGTGTTTTGATTATCTACTGCTTTGTAACAGACCATCCCAAAACTCTGTAGCCTAAATCTTATTTGCTAATGTTTCTGCCATCTGGAGTGGGCTTAATTGTGGAATTCTTCATCCAGGGTCTCCTGTGCCATCATCTGCAGGCCTGATTGGAGCAACAGTATCCAAGATGTTCATTTGCATGCCCAATGTCTCAGGTGAGATGACTGGACCATCCAGGTGCTTATTGGGCATCTGCCTTTCTCCCAGGGTACTCTGGAGGGTCTCACATTTGTGGCACCTCTCTCCATGTGACCTCTCTCTTTTCAGCAGGACTTCTGGCAGCCAGATGACAATCTCCCAAGAAGCAACTTTCTAAGACAATGAGCTCCAATATCCCTACACTTATCAAGGTTCTGTATAATGCCTGTCAAGTTACTGTTGATCAAATGTGCAAGTCTGGAACCTATGCCAAGGGGCTACTTCATCCTGGTGGTATGGGTCCACTGAGGGGCATCAAGGCAACAGTTTCTATTCAGTAGAGGCTCACCCTGGCTAGCTTAGTTGGTGGAGCATGAGACTCTCAAGAAAGGCTCAAAGCCACTCAGTTCCCAATCTTACTCTTTCAATTGTTAAGTTTTAAAATGCAGGAATCGATATAATTGTGCCATCGACAGGGACCCTCCCTGTCTAGGAGTTCCCATTGTATGCATGACAAGCATAGAGGAAATCACCTTAGAGCTGAGTATGGGAGGATGTGTAGTATGTCATCAGGGAGACAAGGGAGAGTGGTCAAGGGCGATACATCAGTTAGAAGGAACAGGACAAAGGGCAGGGAAGAGGGCACCCTTCAAGCTTCAGGGACGAGTGAGTGGACAGTGTGGAGGAGATCAGCCTGTTTCCCAAGGAGGAGGAGCACTGGCAGTCATAGGGAAGCATTTGCATTTAGCATTCAAAGGACAGCCATAGGAGGTTTCTGAGCAAGGATGATGCCAGACTTGAGTAGAAGTGGGACTAGCTGAGACTTGAGTATGAGGGGGACTCAGACAAAGGATGACCGAAACAGTCCCGTGGCTAAGGAAATGAAAAGGAAATGGCCTTTTAAACTGCCCAAGGTCTGAACATCCTTCAAAGTCGATGCCCAAACGTTCCCAGACCTCACAGCCTACAAGGATCTTCCACATTTGGGAATTCCTTTTCCAGGCATACAGCAGTGGCCCCTCAGTCTGACACATGGTCATAGATCACCTTTTTGGGGGTGGGTGGGCCAGTTATTTTACATATTAGTGGTTTCCGTTTCTAACCTAAGCCTATGTTCCCAGAGGGCTCTACCAACCAAAAACCAGATCTAGTTACATTACGGAACAAGAGTCTGCACTTCTCATCTGAGCTGTTACACTATGGAGCTGTGAGACTAGGCTGGATGTCTGTGAAATGGGGGCAGGGGCCGGGCTAGTTGGCTTTTGACAATTTTTCTAGGAAGGGAGAGTGGGATGAGAATGAAATTCGCAATCACCTTCATTCCACAAATAGTTCTTGAAAGTATCATGTATCTTGGACATATCACACACTCTTTATTGGACCCAGAACATACTCTTTTCTCATGGTCGCTCATTGGATCCCTTGGGAATGCCATTTAAATTCACTGGGGCACTGTTTCTTTATTGATAAAAGAGGAATCATAACTTTTGATTCCCAGTGGTTTTAAGAATTGAGTGAAGTGGCCTATAAAACTCTGGCATAAGGACCTCGCCACCCTCTCCCCCTTCCATATACATAGAGAAGAAAATAAACTTTCCGGGGCATCCTCTTATCACTTGCTTCCACAAGATGAGGTACTGAGCCTTGTAAACACAGCGCGCGTATTCACAGCATTCACACACTGCTTGGTGTGGACATATTGCCTCCTATCACACCGCCTCCTCCCTCTGTTGTCTGGGAGTGACAACTGTGCAGGCTTAAGGCTAAAACATAGCTCAAGTTAGGCACAGATCTAGGAAAAGTTCTATGGAAAGGCCCCCTGCTGCAGGGGAGAGCTGCCCCGGACAGGTTTCAATACTTGCTGGAGATGCCATAGGAACAAGGGTTAAGAGGGCAAGACTTTGACTTTGCAGTTCAGGTAGGAGCTGGCGGGATGGGGGTGCGGGTGGGGTGGGCATCCGGAAAGGGCAGGGGCCCTGTGCCAAACAGCAGAGGTTTGACACTGCCGTGAAACTTGGAAGCCAAGGCGCCAGCCAGCTGGGTACGAGGCGCTTAGGCTGGCAGAAGTCAAGGTGCAGCAAATGCCCAGGCGTCCATCCAAAGGTCAAAAGCAGGCCGTTGAAGGGGGTATAAGCGATGAGGCACCAACATCTGGGTTTAAAAGCCCATCGGCCGCGCGGGGAGAGCTCGCCAGCGGCCGCCTGGAAGGCTGCAGACACCACGGCGGCCGCCCACCGCCCTTTCTCCTCCGGCCGCCTCCGCCGCCCGGTCCTCTCCCCGCCACGTCCTCCAA